TTCACAGTGTTCTTTCCAGCCCAGGATTTTAACGAGCACTGATTTAATCCTAACGCAAAGAGAAGGAGATCCCTATATTGCTTAAATGCTTAAAATTTACTAAGTACTTCTTTCAGCTGAGCTGTAAAGCAGTAACATGAAACATGCATTTTGTGCATGCATGTGAGGGCGAGTGCGGCTGCGTTAGGGCCAGGGAGCCACATGCTGTCCCAGTTAATTTGTTTCATCGCATGGAGTGGTGTGATGGAATGTTAATGTCAGCACCCTCTTTATTTACACACTCTGGAAAAAAGGAGTAGTAATTAACACTTCGACACTCCCCCAGTGATGTGTAATTGACTGTTTCAAAGGAGCACTGGTTCATAAGCTATTGCATGCATTAAAATTACGTTTTTATATTGCAGCTTTTTAGGACAGGGGTCAGTGACAATGCAGAAATTGCTCAATGATGCAGATTTTTTTATTACTGCATTAAGGCTTTGACATATTGGTAATGAATAAATGTTTCCATAAAAATCAGATTTTTCTTTTTTTATAACTTTGATTTTGAAATGACACTTGAACACTGGCTGAAGCCATGGTTTTATTAAAGCAAAACAGAGTTCAGTGCAACATTTTAACACGTGCACCGCTTTGTTTAATGGAGTGCCATATAATTCGTAGAATAATTACCCTCAAAGCTAGCACTTTGGGTATTAAAATGGTGGAAATTTCAGTATGACTTTTTGTGGATAAAATTAGAGCAGGCTTTCAGTAGTTTGTAAGTGTGTATAGAGGATAAGTGTAGCTTTTCTCTTATTTATTTGAAAATTTCTTCTGTAAGCATAATTATGCTTTGCTTTATTAGGGGAAAATATCTTTCATATTTTAATTGTTTTTATACATTGAGGTAGCTTATCTTTTAGTTCCCAATAAATGTATTTGTTGAGCGTATAGTTATTCTTATGTTTGAATAAATTTATGGAATACTAGTTCTGCAAATATGCAGTATCCATTATATAGCATGCTTGCAATGAACTCAGGGTTGTTCTCTTTGTCTTCCTGTAGCTGGACTTAGCATAGTTAGTGTGCAGTATACCTGCTTGCAGTATAGCCAGCATATGCTTAAGCTTAGTAAAACCCTTAAATACATATGTGATACTGTTTTAAGACAGTCTCATTTCTATTTATCTGCTTTCTGATGCACTCAGAAAATTCTGAATGCCTTTGTGTAATAGCCAAGGTAGAGAGACAGAGGTATTCAGAAAATTCAAAATGCTGTGTTGCATTTTCTAAAATGAGGATTTTTCTTTTTTAACTACGTGCTTTTTTATAACAATTTCTTGGAAAGTATCAGCCTTTAAAATAATGGACATTATAAGTAGACTTGCAGTGACAGGTCAGCATCAGCTTTAATCCTAAACTCTTCTGGATCAGGACCAATTAAAAATCAGTCTTTTAAAGCTGTGCAGTAAAGGCTCCTACAGGTGGCATCAGTTTGTTACAATTTGTTGTTTTATTAATGCTGACAACTTAGGCCAGCAGTAGCATTATCTGTGTCAACTGAATCGCCCTAACATGTCCACATTTAATCTGGTACTATCAGCAGCCTTCTTCAGAAAGTTAATCAGCATCTCATTTGCATTTGTTAATTAGGGTTAATGTGTGCTAATTGATTTTTTTGATGCTTGTAGTTTTCCATTAAACCCAGTTAGGTATAGTTGCTGGTGCTCCTCATTCATATGAGTTATGATGATCACGTTTTCTTTGAATCAATGCCAAACAGAAAGCCTGCATCATAATTATGGCTAATTAAGAGAACATGTCCTGCACTAATGTGCTTTCCTATTAGTGTATGGATGTTATAAATTCCAAACTTAAATATTTACGGAAGCAATGTGAATGTTCATAATGTCATTCCAAAACAAAATGAGGAGCATTCATTCTAATGAAGTTTCCAGTGAGTCTTAAGTTCTGAGAGGTGCACTCAAAGACAGACTTTGGCTCTTCCAAATGTCTTATTGTTCAGCCAGACTTTTTTTTTTTTTTTTTTTTTTTAAGGGAGATGGTTTGGGTAGTGTAAGCCCTTGGTTGAGTTTCTCACGTTGCCAATCATGCTCTCACATAAAGGAGATAAGACATGGGCTTTAGTCTCTGCTGTGGTGTTCTGGAAGAGCACTCTCTTGCCACCCTGACTGCTCTGGGCATGCACGTGATGCATGGGGCTTTCCTGTGCTGTGGCACAAACATTTATTCAGTGTCACAGTAAGGAAGAAATCCTTCCTTTGCTGAAGATGTGCTGCTGTTCAAGCAGTCTCACAAAAAAGACTGCTGAGGTAGTATGAAGGCTTTGACAGCATCAAAGCTTTTGTGTTCCTGATGATGTAATTGAGTGGGGAGGGGGAAACCAAAAAATTACACAGAAATCCCTACTTACCTTCTCAGCAGGTATTTCAGCAGTAAGTGATTGGAAACACCTAAACTCTGTTAAGGTTTTTTTTTTTTTTGGTGAAACAGTCTCTGGTCTGGAGGTTTTTTGTTTTTTTTATCTTTTTCCCCATTTTTTTTAAAGATACTTTGAAAACTTTCATTAATAAGAACTGGGTCTTGAACTATTGATGAATAAGTTAAACATTTTTGCAAAACACAAGCTGGAGGAATAAGAATGGTTTATCCCCAAAAAGTTGATAAAGCCAGATGAACTATTTTCTTAATATGAAATAAAATTTGAAAAATATGGAAGAGTTTGACTTACTGAATTATAATTCATATTCATATAATTCAATTCATCAACACTTTCACACAGGCTTGTTGCATGAACATAATATGGCAAAAATGAGGCTACTGACTTTCATGGGAATGGCTGTAGAAAACAAAGAAATATCATTTGACACAATGCAACAGGAACTTCAGATTGGTGCTGATGATGTAGAAGCATTTGTTATTGATGGTAAGAACTGCACTAACATACTTTGCACAATGCTAAAGAACTAAAACTTAGGCTTCTATACTTGTGTTAAATATTAAGAAAAGTCTTATTTGCATAGCTGTATTCTTAAGATACAGCTGTAAAACTTAGACATGCTCGACTGTTGGCTTTTAAGCAGTCTTTCAGTGAAAGGAACTATATATCAAGCAAATCTGTACAGAACAGATAAGTTGTGTACAGGTTTGATTTGTTGTCTGCTTTTGCTGCTGTCATTAAAACAGGATGTATTTGTAGGGGAGAGGAGTTCATAAAAACTATACAGGATATTGCTTTAATAGATTGGCGCCAAACAATAGGATTCCTGCATGACCTTTACCTTGTTACACCATTTTGCTTTTCTGCCTACTAAAGTGTTAAAAAGCGAGCAGCAAAACAATACTAAGTGAACTACTACTGTTTTTTCTTTTATATTCGTTAGTGATGAAAGTTTTAAAAGGTTTTATACTATTTAATACCTTTGCCCATCTTGAAAACACTGCTCAAAATGCCTTTTTCCCCCCCCAGCTGTAAAGACAAAGATGGTGTATTGCAAAATAGATCAGACACAGAGAAAAGTAGTTGTCAGGTAAGACTTAATTCTTCATAGCATTTTGCAGAACTTAGTATGTTCTAATTATTTCACGTACATTTGTAGAATTATTTTAACTAGAACTAGAAGCAAGGTATTGTTCCTATCAGTTGCCTGTAGTTAAATAGTTGCTATTTATCATAATTTTATTAAGGCTCAGACTGGATGTGATTAGCTTATTTAATGAAAGAGTCCTATTTTCCAGCACATTTCATTTAATGACCTAATAGTGACAAGAATACTAATGACTGCTATTGCTTTAAATATTTGGGAAGGCTACAGGATTCTGCAACTGGTAAAATACAGCCACTGATAATGGAGAAAATTCCCCTATTATGCAGGGTAATAAAATAATGCTCCAAAAGAATTCCTGGGTGAGCATTACACATGGTAATCCTCTTCCTGATTTTTGTTGTTTTTTTCTTTCTTACTTCTCTAGTCACAGCACACATCGGACTTTTGGAAAGCAGCAATGGCAACAATTATATGACACTCTAAACACCTGGAAACAAAATTTGAATCAAGTGAAAAACAGTCTCCTCAGTCTCTCAGACACCTAAGAAAAATATTTTTTCCACCTAGAAATGTTTCAGTCTATGTGAAATTTATTCACAACTTTGGCAATTTGTGAACGTTTCTAAAGTGTATGCAATTGGTTTAAGAAAATTAAATATTCTAACTTACAACGAACATGGTAAAAATCTCTTTTCTTGATTTTCTTATACAATTAGCAATAATGGACAGTAATGTTATTGATTGTTTCCTTTGTTGTTGGTACTTAAGACTATAGACTGAGAAGGAAGGGTGGGGGAGGGAGATCAGAAAAATGGTGCTGCAAGCAATTCTGAAGTGAGTTTCCGTTAAACCTTAAGAGAGGGAAAATGTGAATCAGTTAAAAGTGAAAATTTATGAAGCACTGTCTGCTGCTTTTCTCTCTGTAAATCCTACTTGGTGATTTAGTGTTGAAAGAGGCATTATTTAGATAGAAAGCTACAGCAGATAGAATTTAAACCATGAACATCTGCAGTCAAAGTAAGCAGATTTTCTTGTTTTGCTGCCACTTAGAATTGCTGAAGGTTGTTTCAAATGTTTTTAGAAACCATTTTTGTGAAACATTTGCTGCTGCTTTTAAAAGCTGAGTGAGCAGATATTTCAGCCAAAACTTTCCAGGAGCAGGAAACAAACTTGCTTTTCTATTTATTTTTATTTATATTAAAATACTTGTAAACATTTTAACTTGAGGCAAAAACCATAACAACTTGAATTTGGTGGCAGAAGCATAGAGAACTCATTTTCTCTAGTAGAAATTGTATCCAGTTTTAAAGGAAAAGAAAACCTGTTCTCTGTTAAAGATGAAAGTACAATACAAGTAATACTTTTTTCTCGAGGAAAACTTTTTACCGGTCTGATTTACAGAAGTGGTTGATCTCTGCACCTGCATTTTTCTCTTGACGTTGCTCTTTATCAGCTTTCTTCGTATTTTCTCTTTCTTGATGAATGAAGTCTTTCCAAATTCAGGAACTTCTCTATTTCTTCTATTTGGCTTTTGATATTGAACTTCTGTGTAGAACACCTTTCCTCGTCTTGGAGTGCACCATCACTTCCTGGAGTCACAGCGACACGTGAAGACTTCTGCTCATGCTTTAAAACATCAAATCCTTCTCCTGCCTGACAGAATACAAATTTAGCAGTTAAAAATATAGTGACATTCAGGTGCAGAGGTTCAAATTGTGATATTTTCCTAAGCAGTAAGCAATTGTATGTGAAGGGAATGATAAGCTTACTTGAATTTATAAAACTCATAATACTACTCAGTGTACTTTTTACAAAAGACAAGACTTAGTACAGAAGAGTGTGATTTAAAGATAAAAAGTGCCTGACAACCTTGCACTAGAATGCAGCTCAGCAAAATAAATAGTTTAATTAAACAGTTTAATGTTGCAATTGACATTTCTATTGCTATGCAATCACTTGATTAAGAAAACCCAAAATCATGAGGCTTATTGTGTTAACTCCCTCTCTGCTTAGCTTTATTGTTTAGAGCCTGAACACTATTAACCAAAGCCAAGGTCTTCAGGCAGTTGATTTTGCCCATTAAAGATATTCTTGTTCTTTGAGTAGGTTTAATTACTATAGGCACTTCATAGCTCTCTGAGCAAACATGTATGGCAGCACAGTAGCAACACAGCTTTTTGCTTGAGTGACAAGTCTGCTTTTCTACCTAGCAAAATATACAGGTGGTCCTACAGGGAAGTGTAATGGAATAAAATGTAGCTGTTTTTCCCTCTTGTGTAGAGGATTACCATTAAAGGAGGCAAGTCAGACTAATTAGCCACTGCAAAAGTCGCATTTTGGAATTGTGCTGATTATTTTTCATAGGAAGAGTAATTACATGAAGTACCTTTCAGTATAGTGTTAGTGATTATGTGCTAAATACATGCCAAAAATACTACTTTTAGAGGAACCTTGAACTGTCTCAGTTGTCACTCGTGTGTAATATCATGGATTCAGAGTTAACAGTTATTGGTAGGAATTGGTTTGCTGCAATGCAGTAACAGAAGTTTAACAACTTAGGTTCTATCTTTGATCCTGTTATTTTTGGAGCCTGTTGGATTCTATCTCTCTGGATTATCTTTTGATCCTGTTATTTTTGGAGCCTGTTTGGAACAGCAGTGCTGGATTTGACTGCAGGTGGCAATGCTACTTCTCAGGTGTGAAGTGCTACCTCAGGTGTTTTATACCCCTTAGCAGAACTCCACCTGTTAAACCATGAATTCATCTAAGGAGTTTGATGGGAGATGCTGATGAAGCAAAGGACTCCCTGAGCCTGTGAGGCCCAGAGGTTCTTCCACTGCGACACAGCGAGCTCACTTTTTGACTACATACTAAATGTATGTATGTCACTTTTTGACTACATACCAAATGTAAAAAACTTGAACAAAGTTGTTTTTTTGTGCTCATTAGCACAGCACAGAATACAGCCCCATCTGTTATTCTGTAGAAATTTTGCCTGGTGGTCAGCTAGTGATATGCCATCTCACTACGAAACTAGTCTCTGGGTTTGTTTTAAACAAATAATACTTACCTTGGTTAAAACAAAGGTAGGCCTAGTAAGACTGTGCGGATAGGGCAGGGTTGCCTCATAGCTGAAAAAAAGTGAGCAGAAAAACAATTTTCGTTCAAGTTTTCTACATTTGGTATTTCTAAGTGAGAGAAAGCCATGCCCCTTTATTACGGCTTCATTTGAAGACTACAAGCATTTAGACCTCTTTGGAGAAGTAATTGCAATTAGGTAAGCTACACAGCATTTTAATAAAGTTCTGTGACCAGGGGTTTAGAATATAACATAGCTTTTAAATAAAGGCAGCTGTTCAAGTCCTCACGCTTCCTCACAGTACAATACAGGTAAATAGAACAATGCATCCTACTGCCAAGCTCTGTTTAATGTGGTGGCACAGATGTGCAGAGAAGCATTAATTGCTGAGTAGTATGAGTGCACTGCCAAGGACATATGTTTAAACTGAGCTGAGGCTACTTTCCATCTTCCACCAGCCTTTTCACATCAGTCATAAAAATGACAAATTGGAGGAAGGAAGGTATTAGAATGACACCAACAGAGAAGGGAAGAGTGGTCTGTAAAATACCAGGCAGAGAGTTCATAGATCAAGTATTTTGGAAACCGTCTAAGGTACTCTTTTCTTGTCCATCACAGCTTTTACCTAGTCTGTACATAGGGAGCTTTACATGGGAGATAAATACAGTGTATATAACCACAATCTGATAACAAAATACATCATTTTAACTAGTTGTAGATTTGATCCACCACTTCTCCTCATTCTCCATTCCTTGCCCTTCCCTTGTGGAAAGAGATCTCCGCCTCAGTGAGGAAGAGCAGGAGAGTCCTGCAAATACAGGCACCATGATTCTGCCTGGTGAAGTGAAACACGGACCGCGCTGTCATTCCCAATTTAGCAGCATCAGCCTTTCCTTCGGGATTTTGGAACACTAACAGCACCGAGGATAGCCAACCAGCTGCACAGAAGTGGGACAACTTTGTCATTTCTTGGAAACACTGTAAGCTCCGACTCAGGCTCTACCCCGAGGAGGCAGCCCCAAGTCCCTGGGGACCTCCTCTAGAGCCGCTTCTGAAGGGGAAGGCCCACTGCAGATGTAAATTATTGTATCACCCTTCCAAGACTAGGTTTAGCATTACCTGTAAGGAAGGTCAAATGTTAATAATGCAGGTGTAGTTGTTCAAGTTATAAACAACATATGACATTCTAACAAGGAACTGAAAGCATAGCATGAACCATTGCTGATGTCATCTCATGCTCTTTTAGGTGATGTCATTATGGTAAACAAATACGATGGGTTTTAAAATAGGGCATTGCCACTGCAGCATAAACTAACTGATAGGCTCCGGTTCATAAATATGCTGAATTTTTAGTCTGTGGCAGATTCTTTTAAATAATGTGTCTATGTCAAATAATCAAGGAAACAATGTTTTTTATACTTTTAAAAATACTTCAAAATTATTTTAAGCTTATTTTTTCTGTAGGTGATGATATTTTTAAGGTACACAGTGAACTACCCTTTCTCCCCTCCCAACTAGACTGGTTAGCATCTGCTTGATTCATATGCTGTGACTTTTTCCTGCTGCTTTCTATCAACCTTAATTGTGAAAAATGGTGCCTTGTTGCCCTTTTGATATTATTTTGGAGATTGACTCAGCCTTAAAGTATCCAGATGCATACAGTTGTACAAATATCTGTGGAATTAGCTCACTGAGGTCTGGTCCGCAATATTTTTAATTGACTTACATGTTCTGTGGGAAAAGAAGAATCATAAAAAGCCTTTGCTGTAGCATTCCATTCCTCACGAGGGTCTCCCTGGGGGGCTTGGTGGATACTACAGATATTCAAAGTGTCGGCAGCTCTGTTGAAACTAGGGGAACCTGATTGACAAAAAGGAAATGGTAACAACTGCAATTTAGTCTCTAGGCACTAATTATAAAGCAACTAAACTTCTGCTTTACTTCTGATCTTAAAAAGAAAAGAAAAAGCAAAAAAAAAAAAAAAAGCTAATGATTTTGTTTTAAATGGTTGAATCTGTTGCAGGTTCTTCCCTATTCATTTTTTTTCCCATGTACTACTACATCTACTTTGTCTCTAAAGATGGCTGAAGTTTCCATTCCGATTGTAAATGTTTTATACTGTCTTTCATAATTAATTGCAAATTAAAAATAATTTATAGAAAAAATATTTTCTGAGTATTCTTAATATAACTTTTTTTTCAGACCATGCTACTTTATCAGTACATCACCTGTTGATAAATACATACGTAATTACTGCCATCCTTGCATCACAGTGCAGGATGAGTTGCTATAATACAAATATGACATTTTAAATACAAAGGTATTTAAACAGATAAAGAACATCTGTTAAATGAGGAATCTTTTTGTAAATGGATATACCTACCATTTCATGAAATGGGATACCAGCTGTTTATTAAAGACAGAGAGATAGAGGGATAAACAAACACAGCTGAGACTAAGGCCCCTGCAGTGACTCACACTGTTAGTAGACTGTTCTGAAACCAGGATCACATTCTTTGCAAAAATCAAAAGTCTAATCTCAAAATTATTCACAGTGCAAATAGCAGCTATTAACACTACTACACCGATACTGGTCCATCATTGCTGTAATAGTAAAATCATTACCTTCATATGAAAGTAGCATTAGCTAATGTTTATGTAGCAGAAAGTTAAAGAGTACCATCGATTTCTTTTGTAGATGAGGGTGGAGAGGAACTCAGCTGTAGTTTTAAGAATCAAAAATTCTTCAGGGTGATCCTGCCCATTTCTCTGTTAATACACGTCTTGTGGCTGCTCTCTGCAGCTTAACCTTTCAACAATTCTCTCTACCTTAGCTCATCTAGAAAGCAATTGGTAATTGAAGGACTCTCTCGATCTCCTGTATAGCTAACAGTATTTATGCTTCAAAGTATAAACATTTTCTAAGAGATGTTGTCCATGTGGATTCTCCTCCAGACAGACATTTAGGGGAGGAAAAAAAAAAAAAAGACAGAAAAAAAAATAAAAGAACAAGGTAAAAGGAAAGAAATCTGGGATGTGGCAGTGCTGTGTACAGCAAAGCCTAACGCAACTCTTGGGTGCCCTGTCGGTGAGATTTCACTACGCCCTAGGAGAGGCGAAGGAGCCAGTGAAGTTGAAGCCTATCTAAATTAGCCGGGACGATGACAGGGAGAGGCAGAGCTGGGAGCCAGGTCGAGCTGTTCTGCTGAAGTTCTGCCAGAGGTGGAAACCTGGTGACCTTTCAGGGCACTAGCAGCTCATGTGGGGAGCAAGGGTCTTACTCAGCCGCTCCAGCTCACTCCTTGCATGTGTAAAAAGACTGCTGACAAGAAAAGGAGCAGGAACACAAGAATTTAAGATAGGGCTCTGCCTAGGCCTAGAAAAAAGATGGATGGATGATTACA